AGTTGTAATCTAAATATATATATATATATATATTTTTAATCAGGGAAGAAAGATGGTTCGTCTGACGGAGAGGTAGTCCTGACTCACATGAAAAAATTAATACATGATTACGACAGTGACCCACTTGGATCCCAAAGTTTAAATGGAGATGCCTTAGTTCACAACGACACAGCTTCTGACTGCCCATCAGATGGGCCAGTTAAAGAATCCAGCACATGTGGCATGGTGGTATCTGATCCCCTTCAGCAGCTCAAAAGACTGTATAAGTTTGAGTCAGAGGATTCTGGAGTAGAGATGCCAAGTGGAGCCAATTCACCCTCTACACCTAAAGGATCAGAGAAGAGTTTTGTGATGCACAGTAGAGATTCCTCCTGTGATTCAGGGGTGCTGAGCGCATCATCTTCACCTACGGTAGGCCACATAGAAATAAATGCAGGTACAAACGAACAAGACACCAATAACTTTCTTTCTGATACTGAACACTGTAAGGAGTATACGGACAAAGTCAAAGATGATGCTGAAGACCAAGAAAATACCATAGAAGATTTTATTGACTGCCAGGAAGAGGAGGAATTGGATTTGCCACCGTGCAGTGATGAAAATGACTGCACAGACAACGCATTGTACAGTACAGCACACTCATCCGCAATAGAGGAAGACACCAAAGTTGTGGATGACTTTTACAAGGACACATTTGAGGAAATTCAGGGTTTGCATCAGTTGAAAAGAAGTCCAACAAGTGACAGTCTGGATGAATATATGGACGAATGTTGTCGACTGAGTGAGGTAAGGGCATTCCACACTACAATGGGTATATCCAATTGTGTAATTATGCTACAATTATGTTGTTGTCTACAATATCTACATACAGTATGTTGTGAAAATAAATTTTGTTTATGGACTATACAGAAATGCAGATCAACAAGGCTACATGCAATTTCCCCATAAAAATAATGAGAACTAAAGTACAACACCAGCCTATTTTTAGCTTTCGAGAGAGTGGCAAGGGTTAGAACCAATGTCAGATTTGTATTGTTGCCTGTTTTTCTACTTTCTATCCCAATGTCATGAATGTATGTAATGTAAATCTCACAAACAGGGACATGGAAGGCAACAAAAACCTGGTAGACATTGTAACCCTCCTCCACTTAACAAATAACAGCGCTTTTATTGCTCTATTTGGTCACATTGGAGAAATTCTCTTCAATCCTTGTCAGATGGGGTTGGTAACTCTTCCACATTCTAACAAAAAAAAAAATCAAAGACGGGGCTACTTTACACCTTTATTGATCTGGCTCAAGTTAGATCAATCGGATCTTTGGAATGTTGATTGATTTAGATTTCCTAAAGGATTTGTGAATGTTCACACAACTAATTGTTTGAACTTCTACTTCAGTTTTCCAATTACGTGCAGATAAAAAAAAAGGAAACAGATTTTCCTTTTATATAACTGGATAATTAAAGTAAATCATGAAATATTTATTGTAGGAACTATATGTACGGCCGCCATAGTACAAACTGTAATTCTTTCATTTTTTCAGTTGAATCAGATTAGTGGCTGTATTCAAGCTTTCATAGTTCTCACTTGTGACACGTTCATACTTGAAGCCTGTTGCACAAAGTGACCTGAATATAATTTAGTACATAGCCTAAGGCCCAAGGATATACTTTTGAACTCAACTTGAGATCTCAGACTGTACAGTTCTGGAAAAGAGTGCATCATAATTATCTATGCAGCAAATGCAGCTGCTTGACTTGAGTGATGAGTTTTTGCACCTTAGAGAGATAGAATAATAATATCATAGTTACATTTTGCTATGTGGCAGAACCTCCACGTCCAGCTTGAGGTACAAAAGATCTCTTCGATTCTTCTGGTGCAGATAACTGCATATAGCATGCAACCAGTTTTCCAAGTATTTTCATATGAACACAAACTTAATGTGTATCTAAAGCCACATTTCTTTTAGTTCTAGACAATATAACATAGCGTGATTGGAAATCCAAATGTAATTTACATTATCCAAATGTACCAGAACAAAGGGGGAGGGGAAATATTTCAATAGGGGCACCTGTTCCTGTGGCAACAGTCTCAGAAGAGGTTTCCCCAAAATTTGAAGAGATTTTCTGTTGTGTGTCTGGGACAGGAGGTGAAGAGAAATCTCTGTAATGGGACACAGACAGAAAAAAGAAAACTGACAATTTAACTCTTCCCTACTCTATCCAAAACTTAAAAAAAAGGTTTGCCTTTACATATATACATATACAGTATATAGTATAACACATTAGGTCTTATTTTCAGGGGATGCCTTATTTTTTTTAATGTGCAACAAAATGTACAGCAAACCAAAGTTATCTGGTGTCACTCCGCCTGTCACAGTAGCTGGCGCTATAGAGTAAGTATCGGCTAATGCGGCTCTGCTCCCTCCGCCACCGCAGCCTTGCTTTCTACAGTGCCTCCTTCCTTTGCCATCAGGGACAGCGGTGCAGCAGTGGGGACATCAGACAGTGGACAGCGCGGTAAAGTACAGTACACATTACAGTGCAGTACCTATTACATTAAGCAGTGCCTACAGGGGGACAGCAGTTAGTGTAGTATGGTACTGGAGTGCTCCCTGTCACTGTGCTGGCCGGAGGGAGTCCCCTGTCATCCCCTTAATACAGTGTGTCCCTGCAGGCTGATACCATCTCTCCTGCTCTTCAAGTTCCCCCTCACATGCTACCACCAAACTAGGTCTTCTTTTCGGGGTAGGTCTTATATTACAGAAAAATAGTACTAGGTCTTACTTTCAGGGTAGGTCTTATTTTCGGGGAAACAGGGTATCTATATATATAGATATATATATATATACAGTATATCTCAACAGATTAGGCATGTGCCCATTGTGTGGGCAGTTAAACAAGTTCTTACTCCATTCCACACAACACAAATGAATTTGCTCCACAAAAGGTACTCAACACTGGTGAGGGCAATGCCCAGAGTAAAAGGTTCTCTTTTATCTTTCTGTTTTAATATGGCCACCCAGCACCAGAACCTATTGAGAAGGCCATCTTGTGATAAAATATAGATCATCAAGCTGTCATCATATCTTCCATCTCTGTGTAGAAAAATGTAAAGATCATGAAACAATGATAACATGTGCCACTGACATTCCTTGCGCGTTTTATGTATTCTATAGATGGGTTCCAAGTTTAGTATAGTAACATATGAGACTGTTTGCTGTAATAAGCACCATATCTATCAAGGAAACAATGCTGCTGACTAATCAAAAGATTTCTTTGATCATCCAGTGCTTGGATCTCTAGCCAGCCGTCTGAGTCTTTAATGTCTTGTACAGTAAAGCCTTGCATTCAAATTAGCAGGTTGTTGAAATAAACACCTCTCCTTCCCCTGTAGTAATTACAGCCAGCCGCAGCCAGCAGTGTGATTTAACAATAGTGGTTACATAGCATAAAAAGCATGGCCCATATAGTTGCCGGCCGCTCGGCCAGCTTCGTCTTTCAGCACGGCTCAGCGCTCGACTGAGCCGCTCGGCCTTGATCGGGAGCTGTACGGGCTATTGTGAATAACCCGTACAGCACCCCCTCGGTTCTCCTGAACCGAAGGGGTCCTGGTGCCGAAGCTAGCCGAAGGATCGGCCGAAGCTACGGCCAGATCCTTCGGCAGCTTTGTGAATAGACCCCTTAGTGTGGTCTGAGGGATAAGGAAAACAAAATTTCACCTAGAAGCATCTGTGTCCAGTTCTGAAAGGAAGAGGAAAACGTTTTCCCAGTACCGAGTGGCAAACTAACACTACAGAGTTTGATAACAGTTCGTTATTGGTAGCTAAGCCTGTTGAATAAGTGCATTCTGGACATTTGACAAATCCATGTCTTTTTGACAAAAGAAAATATTTGAGCTTCTCAGATAACTGTAGTTATTGTAACCGGTAGAATGTGTCAGAACGCTGTGCGTTATGGTGCTTATTCCACTGTTAAAGTAAACCTGGGCATTTTTGGCTCAGAGAAACAATAGTGATTTAGCATCATGGCATTGGCATAATGCTATATTTAATATACTCATCCTAGGCCTGGAAATGCATGTTGGCAATGCTGGTATTAGTAAAGATATAAAAGGAGGGGAGTGAGAGGTAAATTGATGATACAGCACCCCTATAAATACTATTACACAAAACAACTTGAAGAAAACCTGGGGCTTTTTAGGTGCCACAAATAGTACATATTCATGTTCTTTTCTTTAAAAAAAACTAATTTTATTAATACATTTAAAAAAACAAACACTTTTTGCCACTTCAAATACCGGTTACACATAACAAATCTGGGACAAAAATAATGGCATATACATATCTTGGCCAAATTATTTTGGCTTGAGCAGACTATGAATAGTAGTAGGCTCAACGCATTTTGCGAGTTTGTGCTTCTTGAGGAGCCTTATTGAAAATCTACAATTCAATAGATCACAAATGTCATACAAACATGCTGTGCAAATACAATCTATCACATAGGGGAATTATACATAGCAAATTAAAAAAAAAAAAAAAAAAAAAACATACACACAATCTTTGCATATTATTTAAAGTATTTTTAATATGCTTTTTTAAAATGTATTAATAAAATGAGTTTTTCTTAAGAAAAGAACATGAATATGTACTTGTTGGCACCTAAAAAGCCCCAGGTTATTTTTAAGTTGTTTAATGCTGGTATTAGGACTAAGCTGAATGTGAGCTGTTGTGGACTGGTCATAGCTCACATGGGCTGCTCTCTGGAAGCACAGCATTAATGTGTGGAGTATCTTGATTCCCTAATTCAGGCACATGGGGTGCCTTAGCCCAGACCCATTCCATCCCAATGGATGCTGCAGCTGCAGCACGCCTTGTGCCCACAGTATCCCCTACATTCCCATGTATATTAGTGTACAGTCACAGTGAGAAGCAGAGATGTTTAGGGTTGGCAAATGAATATGGAATCCAGGTGCTAGCTCCACTGACCACATAGTTACATAAATTTCAACGTAGAACCGCACATCTGACAGTTCATTAAAAAAATCTGATATATTTCAATAAATCTGATTTTATATGAATTGTCAGATGTGCAGCTCTACGTTGGAATTTCAGGATTTTGTTACACCAGCGTATGTTTGGAGCCTGCACTTGATTGATGTGATTGGTTGGGTTGGTGTTGTTCGAATTTGGGGATTGAGCAATGTATATTTCAAAATTCAACATAGTTACATAGTATGGTTGAAAAAAGACACAAGTCCATCCAGTTCAACCTATAGAGAGAAAAAATTTTACAGTTACAAAAGTTAGGTGCCAGGTGTAATTTTTGTAAGGAGCATTGAGTCATTCTGCCTATTTCCTTTGTCCCCAGTCTGGCATTTACATGCCTCCTAACGGATGCAGGCTCGGCACACAGTACTCCAAGCAGTAATAAGATCATCTGTATTGTCTTATTACAATTGGAAGCACATACGTTTTTGTGAGTCCTGCAACTTGCCATTGTAGATATTGCACATACATTTGTTTCACACCCTAGCGTGGTTCATTTGTTCCTATTATTAGTACTCCAAGCAGAGTGCTACCTAGTCCTAGAAGACTGCCCACCCCTACCGCCACTGAAGGCAGAAGAAGAAGCTGCTGTGACAGCAACAGACTGGCTGAAGACTGCAGGAAAAAGATATGTGTAGAGTTTTTATTTAAAGTAAAGAAAAAACAGGAAAGGTTTCAGGGGCAGGGTAAAGCAAGTGATCAGGGGGCTCCTAAAGTAGTATTAAACTCTCAATCTTTTTT